AAGATGCATGGAAAATCATACATCTTTCTCTCTTGATTTCTCCTAATATGTGCATTTAATACACCCGAGGGGGGGGGGGGTACAACACCGCCTGAGTTCTGCGAGTGCAGATTTTTTCTGAATGAAGCAGAGAGTATTTGAGGACTGGGACATCCGTAGGGATTCCAAAGTGCTTGTTTATAAAGCTATTGTCCTCCCAACCCTGCTATATGCCTGCAAGATGTGGACAGTCTACAGACGTCAATGCAACTCCTGGAACAATTCCATCAGTGCTGCCTCTGGAAAATCCTGCAAATGGAGGGTGAAAGAGAGAAATGTGCCAAGGGGAGGGTGCACCAAGCCAATCCCGACCAGGACTGCCTTCCACCTGGAAACTAATGCCCTCACTGCGGGAGAAGATGCAGATCAAGAATAGGGCTCCACAGTCACTTATGGACCCACTGCCAGTACACTGATCCTGGAAGACTATCCTACTTGAACAATGAGGGATTGTCTAAGTAATAAGTAAGTACACCCAAGAAAGTACACACACTAAAAATATGCATACACTAACATGAATTTGTGTGTGTGCATGTGTGTGTGCACATGTGCATATATATATTCTTGGGTCTATGCATTTTTGAAGAACTTTGGAAGATTTCTTGGAGGATAGAGGATTTGGATTTGCAAAGTATTGTGCAAATTTCAGCATTGTGGTTAGTGTCATACAGAGCAGAGAAACAAAGAAGAACATTGATAATTTTTGTATGCCTTCCGTTAAAATGTATCCTAACAGTCAAAATGGCACTCTACTTTAACACCTCCTAAATGGGTCTAAGAAAAGGGCACTGCTTTCAAAAACATATCCATTGGGTTTGGGGGCTCATAAACCACCAGTATCTCTTGTAAACCCAGAACATGAAGCAGGTATCTTTTAATCTTGTGTCAGTGTCAAATTATTACCAACACACAAGTTACCTGAATCCAAGGCAATAGTCCTTTTATTCTTCTGCTGTTTCACACACTATTGCTCTTGTAACACTCCATAAGATATCATATTGTGAACATAATGATGTCAAAATGTCAGTAATCAGATTTAACTGTGGGACCACACAACCGAGGGCAAATGTTCCCAGGTTTTAATGAAGGCAATATTTTCAGAATTGTGTTCTTGCTATGGATGCAAAGAGGCAAATAACACATGCAAGATGGAGGAGAAAGAGCAATGTGGTTTCTAAAAGGGCCAATGCCTTCTCCTCCAAATGAAGATGGGTACACTTCACAGTGCCGGAATGGGAACCCCTACTGACACAGCCACTTGTATTAAAATGTGTTTTTGTGTGTGTCCAATTAAACTTGGTTTCATTCACTTTATGGTATGTTTGTCCCATGTTCTTAGCCTCAACTAGGACAATAATGTAGTATGCAAAACTATTTACCAAAGATAATTCACAACCAGTGGCTACACTAAAAATTCTCTACCTCATCTACTCTGAAGAATTTCACTCAGAGTTCTTTCAAAGACTTGTTGGGACATGACAGAGATTAAAGGCATGATTTGCTTTCTAAAAAAACTGTACCTAGCTGAAGCATTTGCTCATCTGTGTCATGTCAATATTTTTGTGCATGTGTGTTACAACTTGAGCATTAAATGGATTTAATTGGCATTTTTACCATCTGATGTGCCCAATATGTTCAGTGCTGTGAAATTGCAAAATGTTTATGTTGTGGTAAAAAAATTACAAACACAATCACTTGTTTAGAAACATTATTTGCCTGACGTTTCTAAACAAGCTGTAGCAGAACCCACTGCCTCCAGAACTCACCAAAGAAAATGACACACTGAGTTAAATAAAACCACTTGTGCACAATTTTAGTGCAATGTAATCTCGCATTAAATGCACCACTTTCTGGGATGCCACTTAGTTGATTTGATAGGCTGTATACATAAATGGAATCATTATGACAAAAGAGCAAAGCAAATAAATCCAGGATAAAACTGTGCAGAAGCACCAATCAATGAACATCTATTAGAGCACTCTTAAATCCATTGTTACAAAAATATAGCTTTAAAATAACTCTTCTTAGAGGTTGTTGTCCACATAAACTTAGTGACTTCGCAAGAAATTCACTAATCAGGCCAAGCAACTAAAGTGTCAACAATAACTCTGAATAATATGGAGATATCTACAAAAGAGATGGGAGAAACAGTGCATGGAACAGTGATCAGGTAGATGTTCAACAAAACTACATGCGATTGTAACAGTGTCAAGAAGAAGACCATGGGGGTAACAAATTTATAACAAATCTCATTTGGAGATTGAAAAAAAAAGCATCTGAGGATGTAACATGTGAAAATAAGGGGATTGCCAAAAATAGTACAATTCTCATTGTTCTGAAAACACTATCCACACAGTGAAGCATAGTGGTGACAGTATGAGTGTTGTTGGGATACTTTTGCTCAACTGGAATAAGGAAATTGGCCTTTCCAAAAACCTTTTGCATCTTCCCTGCAGGTGAAGAAAGCAGGCAGCCTCCAGAAACAGTTGACTTTTCTTTTTGTTTATTTTTGGGGAAAATAGGAGTCAGGAAGTGAAGGGTGGCACTGTCCATGACCAGCCATGCTGATCTGGTGTCAGCACATTGGGCAGTACGGTCACCCCACCCAACACCCTCAGACAATGAAAAGTGGTTTTGTCTCAAAATGCAGTATGAACAGGCAGGCATTATGAATGACAGTTCATTCTGCAACTAGACTTGGACAAAATAGACTCACCCTTACTTTCTTAGAATGGCCCAGTAAAAGCCTAGACTTTGTAGTATGGATTGAAAACTAGAGTTCACCAGTGTTCCCCATCCCATCCAACTTGACACAGCTAAACAAATTGTTAAAAAGAGTGGGCAGACAAAATGTAGCATCCAGATGTGCAAAGCGGATGCTTATCCAAGAAGACTTGCAACTATGGGTTGTTACAACTCGTATAGTTGTTGCTGAAGATAGTATTATGAAGTATTGATGGGTGGTGAGTGAAAACTAGTGGTAGTCAATTTCTATTTTCTTATGTGTCATTATATACTGTACCTTCATCGGACTGAGTATCATCTGTACAAGAAATGACAAATCTGTTCCAAAACTTGAAAATGTCAGTGAGTGGATACTTTTACAAGACAGTGTGTATACTGCAAAGCTATGGTCTTCTAAACAAGAAGGGGCGATATGGACATTAGGAAAACTTACGTGTCATTACTGGTCTTTCCACTGAGAATTCTATTTGCAGTTTCCAAGGAGCCTAAGGGTTCCTCAGAAGAATGATGCAACAACATTGGGAAAAATAGTAGCAATGGCCTATTTCCAGTTAACCTGAACTATTGGTGCTCATGAAAGATGCACATATAATCAATATGTTTTGGCCCTAGTGCAAGCCTAGAACAAAGGATACCCTACAGTATAAATCTGTCAATTTTCTAGCATCTGTAACAAAACTGGGGAGAAAAAGACTGAGACACAAAAGATAATGTCATTCTCTACAGACATTTAGAGTGTGGTGTTGTCACCACAGCCAGCAATGATAAAATTTCCTTAAGCAATGTGACAGCTATTTTTCACTCCCTGCTATATGACATCTGCTCCTAAATTTTTAGAGTAATTCATGGAGATTAAAGTTTGCAACTCTTATCAGAGTCAGAGGAGCAAGGTTTAGTAAAGTAGTGAAAATATATAAATAAATAATATGGCACTAATCATTGTCCCACTGACATACACACAACCCAATGTCTGCATGTTCACACAAAAATGCACTCACTTGTATAGGCAACAGAAAACACTTTGAAAATATATCCTCATACATGAGTTCTGGCATGGAAAAGCAATACAGCAGTGATGATATTCTACTACACTTTAGGTATAAGCAGTCAGTATCTATGGAGTTACTTTTTTGTATGACTTAAATAGTCCTCTATTTGGCAACAGAGAGACCAAAAGTTTTATCCATAATTTTAAATGTTAATAACCATACTGATAGAGTACTGGGTCTAAGGTTTAGGAAAGTAGTGAAAAATAAATAAATAAATAATGTGGCACTAGCCATTGCATAGTTATAAAGACTGGAATTTTTTATTTCAGTTTCTGTATAAAACAATAATAAAATCAAGGTCAAGAGGTGCCAGTAAACTCATTGAAGCTGTCACTTAGGTGGAATGCTACTGCTGTTGTCTTCAGCCCTAAGGGGAACAGGAATTTAATGAGGCCGAGGATATGTGACTAGCCCAAGGCAGAGTAGGGAATTGAAATCTCATATCCAGAGTCATAGTCCAAAACTAAATCCACCACACCACACTAGCTTTCCCAGGTGGAACACTAGGTGTGGCACATCCATCCCTTAACCCACTCTGTCAAGAGCCCTGCTACCCCTGAGAACCGTGGTTTGTTGTTTTTATTATTCTTGCCAAAATCTGTTGCCCCAATGCTCCTAAAAGAGGAGGATGAATGCATACTCCTGTAGAAGCTCAGGACAAAACAAAACCACAGCAGAAAAAACAGCAGCAGCCCAACTTCCAAAAGAGAGGGCAGTTCTGAATGTACATTAAACCCACTTTGGACCAGGTTTAAGAACCCACTCCAAAAGGGGTTTAAATCCACATAGCCAGGGGGGGAAAAACCCCTGCTTTTGCCTTTTGGCTGTCCATATGCCATATTGTAGATTTGTCAGTATTGTATAGTCATGCCCAGAACTGGACACAGTTTTCCAGGCATGTTCTGATGAAAGTAGGATAAATTTGGCCCTATTCCACCCTTTGATCTTGACACTACAATCCAATTTTGCAGTATAGCACTGCATTGGTTTTTAACCTTCATTGTTGACCTTGCAATCTATTTAAATTCCTAGATTCCTTTCACATTTACTGTTTTCAAGCCAGATGTTACCTATCTTATATCTATACCATTCATATTTTTCCTGTCTAAAGGTAAGAATTTATATTTTTTTTCCCTGTTGAAATTAATTTTGATATTTTTGACCCAGATTTCTAAATCAGATTTTGATCCTGTCCTCTGGAGAAATGTCTACAAATTTGATAAGCATGCCCTCTATTTCACCATCTAAGCCATTGATAAATATGGGTAATATCACTGAACCATGAGGAGGACCATGAGAAACCCCACTAGTCACATCTCTGTAGGATGAAGGGGAGCCATTGGTGAGTACCCTTCAGGGTTGACCAAACAACCAATTACAGAACAGTAGCATTGTCAAGCTCACTCTTTACTTGGGAAGGGGGACTTCCCATGTATGTAAAGAGCACCCTGTTTTCTTTTTTTACACCAGAACCCACACAGAACTGCCTCACCTGACCAATGAAACTGAATTTTAAAGTTCCTGGCCCTGCAATGATTGTTGAGATCTATGTGGAAATCACTAAACTAGAGAGATGAAATTGTAAGGAAAAGAAACTGAAACTAAAGCAAAAGTTATGGATGGGCTTGGGTCACATCAACACTGGCCACCACTTTGGTTGGTGTAGAACTGAATCAGTCCTATGATGGCCAAATACTGCAAAGAGTGGATCTGGGAAAATACAGGGCAAGGCCACCTTAATTTGGTTGTGTTTTACATTGCTCAAAGTTGGACCTGTGGGAACAGTTGGCCTGGCTCTGAAATAGAACCAGACACGACTTTGCCCACTTCCAAATTTTGTTTCTTGGTTATATGGGATGGCACTCCCCTTTCCCTATGCCTTCTGTGTCAGAGTGGTCTCCAGTCAAGACATGGGTCCTACTTGTCTACCATTGCATGTAATAATGTTGGCTAGGGTGATGGGGCATTCTGGTAAAGTCAGGAGAAAAGAGAGTTAATTTGATTCCCTTCTCACTTTCTCCTGTTTCAACTGTTTGGAGACCTGGCTGACATCATTGCATGCAATAGAGGACAGGCAGGACCCATGTCACAGCTGGATATGGCCACAATACAAAGGATGGGGAGGAGAGGAAAAGTAACCACCCAGTAGTACCAAATCACATTCAGCGCTGCTGGGCTTAGGGATCCCTGCCTCTTCAGCAGCTGGAGAAATTCTTGTGTGGTTCATACCAGCTCAGGGGGTCCAGGGACACAGGATTATGGTATCTTCCCCCACTCCTCATCTCCATACAGGTCAGTATAAATCCATTCATGGTGACACACAGAGATTTAAAGAAATCATACAAATATCTCCAAAAATCAAAATAGGGAAGATCAAAACATCAAAACATGACATTTTTTTCAGGTTCATTCTGGTATTTTTTTTTTTTTAGCATTGGCATTTGATTTAAAGCTCAATTGTAATTTAGCAGTGAAATTTCTCCTTACAACACATTTGGGCTGCTACTGAGTGGAATAGGCTGCTGCTCCCAGCTCACCTCTAACCTACTTCTGTTTTGATAAGATCGAGTTCACATGGTAAGGAATCACAGATGCTTCCATTTCCCCCATTTTTCATCTGGATGACTCAACTCCAACTGTTCTTTTTAGGGCCCTTCCACACAGCCCTATATCCCAAAATATCACGGCAAAAAATCCCACAATATCTGCTTTGAACTGAGTTATCTAAGTCCCAGGTCAAATATGCACTCAGATAATGTGGCATTTTTTGCCTTGATATTCTGGGATATAGGGTTGTGTGGAAGGGCCCTTAGAAGTGACTAAATAAGCTTCTTAAAAACAGAGTGCCAATTGCTCCCAGAATTACATTTTTCTCCACTTGCTGTTCTATATCTAAAAGAATTATTCTAAACAGTAATATGAACATCAAAGAAGACAACAAATTTGTGCATTCATCTATTTCCATCAATGGCAATCTCTGGTAAATTTTCTGCTCATGCCCTGGATGCTTCCATTTTCATTTTTCAGCTGTATTTAACTAGTTATAAGGCCAGATCTGCATAACCAATTTAACAGGGAAGGGAGTGAACTGTTAAAATAAATATATTTTGGTTTCAGTAGTTCAGATTCCTGGCCTGATGTGAGCTGCTCATCTTTGCATTACTTTATAACTAGATTGTTTGGTGCTAGGTCATATCTGTTCTAATGTATGATGATTTGATCACAATATCACACACTAATCTGACTCTGACATATTCATTTGCCAGCCTGTTATATCAGCTACAATTTAGAGTTTTCATATTAGAGAAGAAGACTGCAGAAGATTGGAAAGAATTTTCAAAATTAGTAATACACATCACTGAGAGTATGAAAATATTTCCTACTTTGTTTATTTTTTCTCTCCCCTGTACTCACTTTTCTGATTGTATCTCTGTGTCATTTTCTTTACTGAAAATAATGAAAGACTGGAAGATGGTTTCTACTTCATAATTTAGAAAATTATAGGAATAAAAAGAGGGAAAGGCTTTAATTCACTTTTCTGAAAGGGAAGATTTTGTTTTACTAAAACAACTACTAAATTGATTTTTGTTTGAATGGACTTCTGATGATTGGAATAATACATTTTTGGGAGAAATCAATCTGTAAGAGAAGAGAAGAAATAATTTATTTTTTGTTTATGGAGAAGACATTTGAAGTTTCACTATGTCAATCAAAGTAAACAATTTCTTGAGAAATGGAATAGCTTATTTGAGATGGAAAGATTGAAATACTGCATAGGAAATCTTTTCTAATTATTTTTATTATATTATTATTCCTACACAAGCATTAGAAATGATTTTTTCCAGCAAAGTGCATACAGTTCCTTGAGAATTAATGCCACTGGGCCTTGAGAAGACATATATACAACACTAAACATTATAAGCTGTATTTTGGGAGATAATACGTTTGACTGACTGGGGGTCATTTTTGTAAATTGTGAACTAAAATAAAACATAATGAATAATGAAATCATGGCCGATGATGATGATGATGATGATGATGATGATGATGCGTGTGTTGAGACAATTTCAACTCATTTTAATAAGCTGACAGATTTGACCATCCAGTGGCTTTAAGTGACAGCTTCTTAAAAGATGGTATATGCATCTCTGCATATTTAGCCATGTTCATGATGAAACGTAGATCTCTTCCATTTTTCAAGAAACTCTTTGTATGTAATACTAATGTTTTCCTATCAGCCAAAATGAAAAAGCACATACCAAGAGATGGGACAAGTGGTGCATGTGACTGAATTCAAATGATGAACATGCTAAGAGTCAAATATCCAAAGAATACTACCTAAACATCATTGAGGGATACAATCAAGAAGGATAGTTCCAGACCAAGAAATAACTTAGTCAGATAATATGAGATATGGCGCAGTAACGAGAACATGGAATTTCACTAGTTTAGATTTTCTTACAGAAAGGGACCCAGAAGCAAGACTCCTCTGATACTTAGAAACCTACATCATAGGTAATCAGAAATCTGATATTATCTGTCATCAATAAGTAAGAGATTAGTACAAGGGGACATATGTCATTCGATAGCTTTTAATGACCTGTTTTTATGAGTGAATGCAAAAAAAAGCAGAAACAATGAAAAACAATAATGGTTGAAAATTGTTAAACAAGAAAACTGGTATTCTAGAGCAGCAACATGAAACACAAGAAATCAGATAGTCACTGTTGACCACAGTCATGCTGTAATGAGAGAAGGGAGAGAGGAATCTATTACGTGAAGAGGATCGCCATTAGTTTGGAGATCCCACCACTGTGTTACCAATTGTAATAGACTGATATTTTAAAATGACTTAAGCATTTGGAGGCTGCACAGACTTCGCCCCAATATATAATGTTCTGAGGTAACTTTAGTGTGGAAACGCAACCACCCAAATTAAAAGTTTTCAGTTCTTGTTTGACCAGAGCATTTGAGTAGGCTGAAATGTGCTGGATTTGCACTCAGGGCTCTGAACTCTGAGGTAAATAACAATGAGATTCTCCTAAATAATCGCTGCCACCAATCCGGAAACTCTGTTTCCCTATCTTGTTAAGAATACTTCTTTATATAGAGGCACACTGAGACAGTTGTTGATGAACAAAGAACAAAGTTGTTTATTAGTGTGAACTTCAACAATACAGGCACTTAAGCGTAATGGTTGCAATAAAGAAATGTAGTCTATGGTCACCTTAAAAACAGTTCAATGCTTAGTTCCAAAAACAACTCTTTACTCCCTGAGGAAACTAGCAGACTTCCCTCTGACTAGAATTCCTGATTTCTCCAGACAGTTCTTTCCCTTGGATCTGTCTATTCTCTATACCAGCTATTCTACCTGATAGCTATTAATCTTCTCTAACTATCCACCTTGGCTTTTCTAACTTCTCTTCTCCTAACCCTTTCAAAACTCAACTTTCTTCTTCAACCCTCATACCCTGACTAAACTGTCATATTTTAAAACGCACCCTTTCAGGCATTTTTTTTCCTGCACTCTTAGTTCTGCCCACTTTCTCCCAGCCAATCACAAAGGTTCTCCACATTTCCCTTCAGGCTGCTCCTAAGCTCTGCCTCCTCTAGGAAATGAGTACTCTAAGATGGCTGCCTCCTTGCACCATTTCACAAAATGGTTGCCCAAACACTTGGGCCTATTTCCTGAGCTTTGCCCTGGCCTAAAAGGTAGGCAATTCATCACACATGCCCACTGTGAAAGTCTGACAGATTCCTGGCTAGTTTCTCATTTTGGCTATAGGAAACTGCTGGAGTATGTCAGATGGCTCCGGGGTCCACAAAGACAGTTTTTGCCCTCGATAATGAAACCTTAACACAGCAGAACCATATAATTCTCTGATGGATAAAGTATTGCTCTAAACTCTCTCTGAAACAACTCAAATGACACTACCAATCTGAAAGATGCATGTTAGAAATCAGTTTACAATTGTTCTCAAATCAAAGCAGAGCAAGCATACTAGTGATCTGTGTTTTTTTTTTCTTCCCACAACTTCCCAACTGTCTAAAAACCTGCTCCAAATGTCATTTGTTTTGGCTGAAAAGTGAAACTAGAAGTGAGACCATATCACCTGTGGCCACTCATAATATACCACCATGTCATGAAATGGTCCCTACTCACTAAAGTTATTGACCCCTGATGTAGATACTAGAATGCTGTTAAGTGACAACTTGAAATCAATTGCCAACATAGTCTGTTCCCTCAA